CCCCAAAACCCCAAAACCCCAAAACCCCAAAACCCCAACCTCAATCTAAATATTGAGAAGATATTATTTAGTCTATTCCTTCTGTGAAGGCAACTTATAATCACCTGGGTTGAAAGAGAATGGCACATTCAACCTCACATTTGTACCAACACTTCTTAGAATAGGCTTCTCATCACTGGTGTCAGAGAAGCTTCACATTTCGGACTCTAAAATTAGGAGAGGATTATACCTTTAGCTGCCAATTTGGTTTGTTCACCCTTCAAAGAATCTTTCTCTAAAGGATTTCCTAGTACAAAGTTAGTATTATTAGCATAAAGAATCTCCTTTGACATATCTAAATGACTAGACGCTATGTTCAGCATCTTTTCTTTCTCTTGCATTGAAAGATTACCAGCTGGGATACCTGATATCTTCTCCTTACTTGGGTTCCGAGTCACTGGCTGGGAGCTGAAGTAAGAAGGCTCTCTGTTGAAATTTTTATATCTCTGGGTCAAATACACATTAGCTTCAACTTGTGAATGATTAGATTGATCCTCAACGCAAATATTCAGGTCCTTCAAGCTGTCTTTTTGATTATCAATGCACCCCTTGCTTGTTCTAAACGTAAGAAGATTGATACCATTCCTCATTCACAGAGGACAAAACTTCAGGTGTTGATATATTCTGAAGAGGCGGTGGTATGAACACATGAAAACCTTTCTGAGACAGCCTGATTGAGTTCTCTCTAAACCCTAAAACTCTTTTCTTAATTCCCTTTTTAATAATAAATTTTGACTGAATTTTCCTGGTAAACTTCATCTGATCCTCCTGTTGCTTAATAATTTTAGGGTCTGAGTACACAGTGACTCTAGAAGGCGACCTCAGGTTTGCCTCCTCAAGAGCTTTCTCAAAAGCTATAGGAATCAATAGAGTTCATACCTTGGTTCAGTTTCTCCTCAGATTCCTGAGACATTATATCCTCATCGATTAATCTGGCCTTCTTAGTTGAACTAGTGAGCTCTCTTCCTATAACATCAACTTGAAGCACTACTTTTGCAGTCGCCAGTACCTCCACGAATGTGGTCATTCACCAAGATCTGGCTGATGGCAGAGCTATTCCTCTTCTTAAACCCAGTCAAGTCGAGCTCATTGGCATTCCTCATGCGGCTTTTCAACATTAAGCATTAAAATTACCTTCGAAGGTTTGGTTTCGAAAACAGAAGCATAGTCTTGTTCTGCACATTCTAGCATGTGAATTATGAAGCTTACTTGCAGTTCTGTAGCACCCATGGTCAACTTGTTCTTACACAGCAAGGAGTTATTTCTGACCCTTGAATACCTTATCACGACGCCTGCCAATCGTCGGCTTCTTCATGATCATCAAGTCTTGGTTCCTTCGAATCTTCGGCTTTGGGTTACTCTTCAGCCTTTTCAATAACCGTTTGACTTCATTAAGTCGCTTCTTCCTGGTTTGGTTGTCATTTTCAGGAGAAGGAGGTTTCTCTTTTATCATGTCTCCATCAATCGTTGAGGAATTAAGCATCTCTTTCTTCACACTTTGCTGGTGCTTCACTATCCTGTTGGGAATGTTCAAAACCAAATGTGCTGCCTATAGCAAGTTTAGGATGAGACTGTACCTTAGACCCCCTCTTCCTTCTCTGAGATTTCGCAAAAGTTTTCTTAATTTTTGAAGATTGTACTCAGATTCTGCCAGAAGTACTATTCCCAGTAGTCTGTGGCCTCCTCTTGAGAAGATCATGCTTCTTGATGCTCTTGACTGGTTTACTCTTACTTTGGAATTCTTTAGTCTTAGTAAAATCTTGACCACTGTAGAGCATGACCTTCAAGTTAAGAGCTTCTCGCACATCATCTCCGAGGTCTAACTCACCTGAGCCAAACATTTCATTATTATCAGACAGGAAAATCTTGGAGTTATCATGATGGCAATATTGAGCTCTCTGGTCCGGAATATCTAATTTCACACATGAAGCTTACTCTTGCAGGAGTTTATCCTCTCTGAGCTCATAGAGAGATTCTGGGATATTTTGCCTAAATAATTACAATACTTCCTCTACTCTGGTCAAATTTTCCCACCTGGATATCCTTCTGGGAGCCCAAATTTTTGGAACTAGTATAAGTATCCTTCGAGCTCCTCCTCCTAACATAATTCTTCAGGGTGGGAATTTTCAAAGTGATCGACCTAAGGTTGAAATCCATTGGGTCCTCCAAATGCTCAATATAATTAACTTTAAACGAATTATTTCCATCTCCTTTATCAATCTCTAAACATGACTTGTCGGAATACCTTGTTTATGTTTGCATAGATGGGGGATTCTACAATCTAAAATGAATGGATTACTCAAGATCATCAGTATTTCCCATGTCAATCTCTGAACTTTGGACTCAGCCATCTGAGAGTTAAGTGCCAAAATACCTTTGATGCCTAATTTTAGTCAAGAAAAACTACCTGGAGTTGCTTTATTCATTTTCTCAAAATATTTAATCCTCTTTACTTTACAAATTAAGCAAAGAAAGTTACCGTAGAATGTGTCATCAATTATCTGCTTCATCTCAATAGATCTCTGGATATTTGGACTATTGGTTAGACAGTAACCCCACCTGCTCTGTCTGATAGGGCTTTGTGTACCATGCTGCACCGCACCGGTTCTCGGGAGCCCTATTGTAGGCGTGTTCTTGTACAACTTGCCTTTAATACTACTAGGGCTTTGCATGCCATTGTCTATATAGATTACAACAAGAGTGCACTTTTTGAGGAAAATGATAACGCTGCTCTATTAGTCCTCTCAAACCTTCTTTTTGCTTTCCTAAATCAAGCTAAATTTCAAAAGAGTTACTTACGCTTGATCAGCTTCATGCTTCAAACCGGCCTCCTTGTCCTCTGGTTAGGTTTTCTTCTCAGGTCTAAACTCTAAGAATCAGGAGGTCCTTAAATAGTACAAAAAGTTATGAAAATTACCTTGTTTCATGTCCTGAGTCTTAAAAATAATCTTGGTCCTTCGTTCTTCATTCATTTTATTTAGTAAATATACAATTTTGTAGATTGAAATCGGGGTTTTGGGGTTTTGGGGTTTTGGGGTTTTGGGG